TGCTAGGTCGCCTTGAATGGTGGAGACCCGTGCCCTCTTTGTGTAGAACTTCATCTTCAGATGGAAGATGGAGGACACTGCGGTCAGCTCTGCTAGTGTCGACCTTCCGAGGATGCAGTTGTAGAGGGACGGATAGTCAATGACGAGAAAGTGCACTTTGACTTGCCGGGTAGCAGTATCTTCGCTAAAAGTGACATAAGTTCCACGTACCCCCGTGGCTTGGAGGTCGAGCCATTAAAGCCCTACAGGTCTGATCCCACGTATGGTGAAAGGTGAGAGTCGTCGAGCTGCAGGGTTTTGAAAAGTTGGCTATACATCACATTGATAGAACTTCCCTCGTCGACAAGGACACGATGTACGTCGAAGTTGGCCATTCTCGCCCTGATCAGAAGAAGCATGGCTAAATTGGGGGCCCCTCCAGGCAGTTCCTCGAGGTAAAAGGTGATTGGATCTGATCTGCCTTTAACCCTCTCGAAGGTCACCGTTTGCGGGGGAGTCGCGTCGACCAACTCGTCCAGCTTCCTCTTTACTGAATTTATAGTCAAGTCATTAAACCCCCCACCATTTATGACCATGGCGGAGGGGAAGTTCTCCCACCTACTGTGCATAGACAGAGGCTCTTTCATATGTTCGAGGACGTAAAAGTCCTCTGGTCTCGTAACGGAGAATGCGGTCTGGATGAGGACCGACTCGTCAGATGGTCGGGCATCCTCCTCTATCTCCCTTGTTTCACGGGCATCTCGATGGGGGCGTTGCCGCGTCGATATTGCCAGAGTCTCCCCCCTTTTATGAGGGTCTCGATAGCATCCTTGAGATGGACACAATCTTCAGTCAAGTGCCCATGGCTCTGGTGATACTAGCAGTATTTAATTCAATATGCCCCGGGCTTAGCATGAGTGGGGCGAGGACGCTTGACGCTGCCGTCCTTGAAATCTGTATTCGCGTATTCCACTAAGATGCACTCGCGGGAATCCGTTAGCGGGGTGTACTCAGTAAACTGCCCCGAGGGTCCTCTTTGTTCCTGAGGGTCTCGAGGTTTGTCGTCCCTTCTCTTCTCGCCAGTTCGTCAAGGAGGGGCGGTGTCTTATCGCGGATGACTGGTAGATCCGCGATTCCTAGGATCTAGGAATCTGTTGGCCGCTTCCCTCTCCTTGTAGTCCATATAGACTCTGGCTTTCTCGAGGAGGGCATCGAATTTCAGGGGGCGGTTCGATGCCTACGGCCTTTCTGAATTTCGTGCCCGAGAGGAGTCCCCTCTCGAGCAGGTATCTCTTCGTGTGATCGATGCAGGTGACCTGGATGGCCTCCCGGTTGAACCAATTAATAAATTCCTCAGGATCTCATCGTGTCTCTGGACGATGGCCTCGGGGGCTGCTTCAGTCTTTGGGTGGCGTCGCGAAGCAGTTAATGAATTGATGAATTGGTTCTTCAGATTTCACCAGGAGGTAATTGACCTTGGGGCGAGACTTTTGTACCAGTCCATCGCAGCTTTCCTCAGAGTCTAGGGAACAACCGGCATTTGATTGGTCCCTAGACATTGTGATAATGTAGCATGGCCTCAAACCTGTCTATATGGTGGACCGGGTCGGCGATGTCGTCGTATTCCTTTAGGTGGGGAGGCTTCTCCATGCCCGGGGGAATGGGTGCCACCATGATGGCTTGTAATAAGGGACTGCGGGGGTCTTCTTCGTCACTCTGTTCGGGGGAGCGAAACGGGGATCTGACATAGTGGCGGTTATGGTGGCCCTGGTCGCGTGGAGCGTTCCTCGGGCGATATGGTCGCTCGTTGTTTACCCCATTTCTGTCTCTAGGGGGTCTTCGTTCTTGACGTGAGTGGCCGTGATTGCGTCTCCCCGTATCAACGGGTTGGTCCCTTTCCAATGCGGGGCATCTCCCGATTGGTCGGGGAGAAGGGCTTCGAGAGATGTCCCGACTACGTCTCCGCGGGGGAGATTAAGGACGTTCCTCTGCTTGTCGAGGAGGAGGAGGAGACTGAGGTCTCATGTGTCTTCTGGGGGCTCTCCGAGCATCTTCGAGCGCCCTCAATATTTCTCCCTGAGCGAAGATCAGGTAGTTGGTCTAATTTATCGCTGCAAACAGTGCCCTGGTCGTGGCGTCTGCTCCGGCGGGAACGGTGACCTCATGGAACTGAACGGGTTGGTAGTTCTAGGGAGGTATCCAATCATCTTCGAGTCGTGGAGGCAGTGATGATGACGAAGTAGTTGCTCCGTCTCTATAGTCAAAAGGCCCGGGCATATTAATGGTGGGGGCTGTATTGTGACCGGCGGTACCGGCGTTGTCGAGGCCGACATTATTGTCAGTGATGTTGTTGTTGACGTTGATGATATGGACATTCATGTTTTCTGCAGTCTGGTCAGCCATGACAGTTGGGAATTGTTTAGCTTTGATCTCGAGTAAATAGAAGACGGGGAAGCAAGTTCCCACAAACGGCGCCACTGATCTTACCGGATCAGAAATAGATCGTCACAGCTATCTCGGACAGAAGTTGAATGAGATGAGGGGGGGTACCTGCAAGACACTTTGATGGCAAAGTAAGTTGCGGAATGAGAAAGCAAGTGTAAGAGTTAGAAAGTGTTGAATTGAATACCTGGCCCTCTTAGGAGAGAGGGTATTTATAGCCCCCATCGCTGGGCTAAGGTTTCCATTATTGGGCCACCTTGAGGCCCAATAACAGGAACTGTCAGGGCTTACGTGTGTATGTAGTCCAGCAAGTGGACTCCCCCCTGGTCAACTGCTCCGCGAGAATAGAGTTGGACCCGTGATTTCCGGAGGACAGTTTAAGATGACTGTCGTGGGATCGTGGGCCATGTCCTCCAACGGCCGTGTGGGGAGTTGCCCAACGGTCCTTAACTTGGACTGTTTTGGGACTTCCCATTCGAAGGACAAGTATAGACCCAATCCAGATCAATATCCCTTATCATATATTCGGAATGATAAACTTTTTATTAATTAAAAAGTAAAATTAAAAAATATATATTAAAAATAAAAATGAATCAATTCATTTTAAAATAATATTTAATTTAAAATAGGTTATACTTAATCTAAAACAATTTGTGTACTATCATAAATATAAACCTTTCCAAAAATAATAATAAAACACACATTTGAGAGTTACTTTTTGTAGAATAATAATTTCTCATATGTAGAGTCATTGATCAAATATGTAATCACAATATCACACACTTAAAATAAATCGTTAGTTAATTCATTAATGATTAACGATCAATATTGAATTTAGTAAGAGAAATTATAGTTTGATTTCTTATCATTATAATTAAAAGAGGATTGAAATCACTTGATATTAGCTCTAACCTAAATCATATTAATCTGTTCATTAAATCTGATATTAGTGATGAAAAAAATCCTATACCTACCTAGCACTTGAACCAATTTAGTTAAATGAAAGCAACAAGTCATGTGCAATATGCATGTGTATGTGGTGGGTCAATTATCATATGTATAATTCTTTCCTACGTTTTATAATCAAATTGGTGAAAACTTGACATGGTTCAACTACATTTGATTTAGAAGACCTATAAATAAATAAATATTAAAGGTAGAGATTGAATGTTGAATTGGAACTATCTTTAAAAGTGTACTCCCTCTATTTTAAAGTGAATATAGTAAATAAAATTTATTTTAAAAATAATATTATTCTCACTTTTTAATAATTAATTATTTTTTTAATTATTTTTTTTAATTATTATTTTCTATATCATTTCTAACACATTTATAAAATTAGTATAATAAAAATTTAATATCTTATAATATTATTATTATATTTTTTAATTTGTGTAAAAAAAATTTAAATAATATCACTTCTGTTTTTAAATATAAGACTCTATTAAAAAAATTATATAAATAAAAAAAAATTAATTAAAATATTAAATTTATTAACTATTTTGTATAATTTTATAAAAATTTTAAAAAAGAGAAATACTAGTAATTAATATATATGCAATTATTTATTATAGATTAAAGAAAAAAATATAATATAAGTAAGAATAAATTTGAAAAAAATTATTATTAACGTATTTTAAAAGTTGAAGAGAGATTTATAAAAAAGGAGAGAAAATAAATTCAAAAGAATATTATAATTAAAACAGAGATAATAATATTTTATAATAATTAATAAAGAGCAAAAATAAAAATCAACAAAAGTGGGCCCCAATAGCCAACCAAGGTCCACTCCTTAAAAATGAAACAAACAACCTAAGATGACACTTTCTAGTTCCTCCCAAAACTGTCTTTTAGCTACTTTTAGAACTAAAAAAAATTGATTTAGAGAGAGAAATCTGATCTACACAGAGACTTCAACTACAAGTTGTACAAGTTGAGATTGAGTGACAGAGAGAGAAAGTTAATGTGAGTGAGTGTAGGAACAAAAAGAGGAGAGTGGAGCGAGAATTTTGGCCGAAAAATAAGTGATTATTACTACTCTCATTCATAGATTTGCATGGTCTAAATTTCCAAAATATATATTATTTTTATTTATTGTTTTTTATAATTCAGACAAGCAAACTAAATCTCACATAAATCCGAGAAATCTTTCACACACTTCTGTCTCTCTCTTAGTTCAGATGCACTTTTCTGCTCAATTGGTGCCTGGTCTTTTGGATGCTTAGGTAATTTTAAATAATGAGTCTTTTGGATTTTGCATACATATACGGTTCTGAATTGTAGGCTTTTTTATCTCTCTTTATTTATAAAAGGGTATCTGAATTTTGCTTAAAAATTCAATCTTTGCAAAAGGGTGATCTGAATTTTGCTTAACATTTTGATCTTTGCAAAAGGGTATCTGAATTTTGCTTAAAAATTTGATCTTTGCCAAAGGGTGATCTGAATTTTGCTTAAAGTTTTGATCTTTGCAAAAGGGTTTTATGAATCATTGTCAATGCTAGCAAATAGGCTATAGTGGAGGTGACAGTGATAGTTTTAATTTAATTTTAATTTTGTGGTTCTTGCATTTTTTTGGGGGGATGGAAGATGACACAAACATGGCTCAAGAACAAGAAGATCAATCAAGAAACAATGGTATCAATGGTGGTAGATCTACTAGAAAGCCAAAGCAAAAGAAGGTTCCACAAAGAGGTCTTGGTGTAGCACAGCTTGAAAAGATACTAGAAGAACAACACATGAAAGATGGTGTTGTGATTTCACCTTCCAAAAATTCATCAACATCTTCATCCTCACCAACAACTATATCATCTTATTTGCCTCTTCCAATCAACAATTTTAACCATTCAAATGTAAAAGATGGTTCTTTCATTTTACCATCACAGAATTCTTCTTCTTCATCATCATCATCACCGTCGTCAACAACCATATCAAACTATTTGCCTCTCCCGATTACCAATTACAATCTCGTGAACCAAAATTCTTCTCCTAGTCCTTTACCTTTGCCACAACTCGATTTTAGATCTCCAATGTCACTGCAACATTTGGATGGTAAAGGTTCTGGTACTGTTCCATTGAATGTGCCTAAGTTTTGGAGCTCTCGTGAGTTGGATTTTGAGAAGGAGAGTTTTGGTATGGAACATGGATTGCCCTTTGTCCCTAGTTTGCCTTTTGATTCTAATACAATTTGGCCTCTGCCTAATTGGGTCCAGAGATCACAATTTCATCATCAATCTTCTTCACAAGTGGTAAAATAAAGATGCTTTATTTCTTTGTTAAATTTTCATGATTTCGTTTATATTTGGTTTCATTTTGTCACATTTCTTCCTATGGAATATGAAAATATGTAGGTGAATAATTCATCAGGAACTTCATCCTCTCATGTGCCTCAGTTGTCAATTGAGCCCCCTTCAAACCAAAATAGTACTAGCAACGGTACGCCGATCAGGTCGGCGGAGAAGGTAATGTTTTACTAGCAAGATTTGCTCTCATTGTAATTCATACACCATCTCTGCATAGTTCTGTTTGATCTGTATTTTGTATATGTCTTCAATATTTTCATGGCCGATGCGGCCATAATTGTGTCCGTAGGCCGCTGAGACATCAAAAACATTGATGTCGTCGCCAAAGTCACTAATGCGTACCGTATTTTAAAACCTTGATATGCATGTCATATACATTTTTATTGGTTAATTGAAAGGTTTTTAATTAGATATGCCGCAGTCCTTCACGATTTCTTTTTCTGCTGTCACAAATTTGAGTCGTCAGCACATCGGTAATTGTTGAATCGTGATCAGACACGGCACAAAGCAAGCCAATTTTGATTTTTTTTTAACCTCTAAAATACGGAGCTTGAAATATGGATTGTATGATATTAATCTAACAATTAGCTATATGTTAACTGCGTGAATGTGTTGAATTTATGATTGCAGATGATGGTTGGCATGAAAAGGCCATATCCTTTCTCCCTGGATTTTTCACAAACACCTCTAAATTATAAGTTGTCCTCCATTGGTCAAGTAAGTACAAATGGAAGAACTTCGTGTGAGAGTGAAAGTGGATTTCATCTTGATGCTGCCATTTCAAATTCCAGGTTGTTCCGGTTATAATACTATTGTTTAAGCCTTTTCGTCGTAGTTGTACTTTCTCCGAAATGAAATATATTATATCTGCTATCTTCTCACACGACGAGTTTCTGAACTATATGCAGAGAATCTCAGTCTTGTTCAGCCTCCAACTCTGATCCAAAGTCGATGAAAAAAGATAAAGGGATTAAGGAATTTGATGGAAGTTTTCTCTCTTTGGCTCCTCCAACACCTCCCGCTTCATATGCAGTTTCACCGTCAAAACCACAAGAATCCCCCGAGGTTTGTGCAACACTCATTAAGCTAAAATAGAGATTCTTTCCATTTCATTGCTAACACTATGGTTTTAGGAGTGGACAAAACATAGATGCAACGTTATAGGCACCGTTCGATTGTTCCTCTATTTTTAGTAGAAACCGATTCGAACAATGTCTACAACACTTTACTTAAGTTTTCTCCTTTAGGAATATAAAGGCCAAACCAATGAAATTTGATTGGATCGGATAACGGGTTAGAACAATTTTGCGAATATCATCATCTATGCTCACTCTTAACTTGTATTTGACATGCTACAGAAAAATATCGAAGATCAATTCTCTATTCCAGCGGGTTACAAACTAGTCAAACAACAGAAGCAACCTACATACAGCTTCATTCCAGCACAAAATGGACAAACAACATCCAGAAATCAAAATGGTCACGAAGTGGAAGAAATTATTGATCTAAATTTGAAGTTATAGAAAATATATCGCTTTATGTTCATCATTATGAAACTTGAATATTCATCTTTGGGTTTTATTTATTTATAATTGATACATATATTCCTAAATCTTCACATGTAAAGTTGAGTATGAAAAGGACTAGAAATCCTTAACATGTGTGAAATAGGAGGACAGATGTTGATTTGTTTGTTTCTGTTGTGCTTCTTAATAATGCCTATGTTGATGAGACCAAACTGTAATGTTGTGTGCCATCGGCGCAGTTTTGAATACCTGTCGTCTGGTTTGAACCAACTACAGATATATGAAATTTTGTCGTCTGGTTTGAACCAACAACAGATGTATGAATTGTAGACTTGCAGAAGATTCACACAAAGGACAACCTAGTAGATGTTATGACAAAGTCGATCAACGCTGACAAGTTTTATTGGTGCAATTCTTCTTATGGCCTATCTAAAACGTAGCAACATGGAATTAACAAGGGATATAAATTTTGGAAACAAATAAAATGACTTTAAGTGAGAGATTGTGAGAACATAAAGTCATTTGGTTTGTAGAAAATATCAATGCATTAGAAATCACTGATTTCTATGATAAAGAGAAGATTAAGCATAATTTACTAAATATGTATCAACTTATTTTAGTACATGAGTCTCTTATATATAGAGAACTCATATTGTTGTTTATGCATCATCCTATAATCATTCAATTGTGTTTCTTCTCATTTCTATACTATTCTCTTATATTTTAGCGGTGTTATAATTATTTCATGTTATAGTTATTTTAGTTGTGTTGGGTATCAGAATAACATGAAATAATTATAACACGGCTAAAATATAAGAGAATAGTATAGAAATGAGAAGAAACACAATTGAATGATTATAGGATGATGCATAAACAACAATATGAGTTCTCTATATATAAGAGACTCATGTACTAAAATAAGTTGATACATATTTAGTAAATTATGCTTAATCTTCTCTTTATCTTAGAAATTAGTGATTTCTAATGCATTGACATTTTCTACAAAACAAATGACTTTATGTTCTCACAATCTTCCACTTAAAGTCATTTTGTTTGTTTCCAAAATTTATATCCCTTGTTAATTCCATGTTGCTACGTTTTAGATAGGCCATAAGAAGAATTGCACCAATAAAACTTGTCAGCGTTGGTCGGCTTTGTCATAACATCTGCTAGGTTATCTTTTGTGTGAATCTTCTGCAAGTCCACACGCCCTTCCTCTACTACTTCACGAACGAAATGGTATTGAACTCTTATGTCATTTGTCTTGGAATAAAAAGCTGGATTTCTTGCAATGTGCAAGGAACTTTGATTGTCACAATACACAATAATTTGTTGTTGTTTGTATTCGAGCTCTTCCAATAACCTTTGAATCCATATAGCTTTCTTGCGTGCTTGGGTAGCTACCATATACTCAGCTTCTGTAGTAGATAGAGCTACAACAGTCTAGAATTTGGATAATCAGCTTACCGCTCCTCCTGCAATTGTAAACACATAGCTTGTAGTAGATTTTCTTTTGTCAAGATCATATGCATAATCTGAATCAACATATCCTCTGACACAAAACTCCAACCCTCCAAAACATAATGCAACATCTGAGGTTCCTTTAATGTATCTCAGGATCCTCTTCACAACATTCCAATGCTCTTTACTAAGATCTTCCATAAACCGACTGACCGCTCCCACTGCTTGTGCAATGTTTGGCCTTGTACATATCATGGCATACATAAGGCTTACCACCACTGATGCATAGGGTACTCGGGACATTTCCATCCTCTCCGCTTCATTGTTAGGATTTATACTTGAGGATAATTTATAATTGATAGGAAGTGGGGTAGATATTGGCTTACAGTCTTGCATGTTGAAGCGCCGCAAAACTTTTCGTAGATAATTTCTTTGAGAAAGCCAAATCTTCCTATCTTTTCTATCTTGGTGAATTTGCATCTTTGTTGGCCCCAAATCCTTCATATCGAACTCCCTAGCCAACTGTGCCTTCAATTCTTGGATTTGATCTTTGTTGGGGCCTACCACCAACATGTCATCCACATACAACAACAAAATGATGAAAGCATTTTCCTCAAACCTCTTGTAATATGTACAATGATCTGAGCTCAACCTGTTGTATCCAAGGCTAATAATGAAAGAATTAAATCTCTTGTACCAACACTTCGACACCTGCTTTAAACCGTACAGAGATTTGTTCAACCTGCAAACCAAGTTTTCTTTTCCTTTTTCTTCAAAACCTTCTGGTTGTAGCATATATATTTCTTCTTCAAGTTCTTCATGAAAAAAAGCATTATTTACATCCAATTGTTTAAGATGTAAATCATAAGAAGCACACATAGCTAACACTACTTTGATAGTGGTAAGTCTAACCACCGAAGAAAATATTTCATTGAAATCAATTCCTTCCTTTTGAGCATATACTTTAACCACAAGTCTTGCACGATATCTTTCCACTTGATCATTACCATCACGCTTAATATTATAGACCTATTTGTTGTCAATGGCTTTCCGACCCTCTGGAAGTACAACAAGATCCCATGTCTTGTTTCTATGTAAGGCTTCCATTTCTTCCTGCATTTCTGCCATCCATAGAGAATCACTTGAGCAACTCACAGCCTCTTGAAAGGTTAATGGTTCTTCATCTTCTGTTAGAAGATAATATGCATAATGGCTTGCCATAACATAGCCTGACTTCCAATTTGATTTCCTTTTCTGACGTATTGGTCGTCGAACTTCAACACCATCAGGTTCCTCTAGTTCTTGTACCCCGTGCTCTGGTTCTGCTTCAAAAGAATCATCTTCTACTGACTTTCCATCTATATGAAAAGTAGTGATATCTTTAAAAGTACTATCATTTTCCTGTTCCCTTTGCAATTCATTCTCTGCAAAGATTACATCCCTGCTGACAATAACCTTGCGAGAAGTGAGATCCCACAGGCGATACCCCTTGACACCGTCAGCATAGCCCAAGAGTATGCATTTCCTGGATTTTGGATCCAACTTAGTTCTTTCTTGGGAGTTGTATATCACATACACAAGACATCCAACCACATGTAGAGTAGAATACTCAGTTGGATTTCCTTTCCACATCTCCATCAGAGTCTTTAAACCAATTGCACTTGATGGCGATCTATTTATCACATAACATGCAGTTTTCACGACTTCTTCCCAGAATGACTTAGCTAATCCTGCAGTTCGCAACATAGCTCTAGTCCTTTCTAGGAGAGTTTTATTCATCCACTCTGCTACATCATTCTGCTGAGGCGTATGAGCAACTGTAAATTGTCTCATTATACCCTTTTTCTTTGCAAAATGCCAAAAATCACCGCCTGTATATTCTCCTCCATTGTCTGTCCTCAAGCACTTAATCTTCTTTCCAATTTCATGCTTAATTAGTGCTTTGAATTGCTTGAATATTGAAAACACATCTGACTTCTTCTTGATTGGGTATACCCACAATCTCCTGGAGTAATCATCAATGAATGATACAAAATATCGTTCTCCTCCTATGGACATTTGCGGTGACTCCCACACATCAGAATGAATCAAGTCAAGTATGTGTTTGCTCTTAGTAGTTGATATATCAAACTTCAACCTATTTTGTTTGCTTACTATATAATGCTCACAGAAATGTAGACTTACTGATTTGAGCCCGGGTATGAGATCACGTTCCGCAAGAACTTTCAAGCCTCGTTCTGACATGTGATCCAGTCTGCGATGCCACATTGTCGTTGAGTTTTCTTGACTAGCTGATGCAATTGACACATCACCTTCTTGCGATGTCTCTCCCATAAGATTGTACAGATTTGCAGATAACTTTTCTTCCTTCATCACTACTAGAGCACCTCTCACCACCTTCAAGATTCCACCTTCAATATGGGTCTTGCACCCGAGGTCATCTAATTGTCCAATAGATAATAAATTCTTCTTCAACCCTTTCACATGTCGCACCTCTTGAATTTTGCAAACTGTACCATCATACATTTTTATTTTCACAGTACCAACACCAACAATTTCTAAGGCGTAATCGTTTCCCATGAACACTGATCCTTCTGAGATAGGTTGATAAGTGTAAAACCAATCTCGTCGAGGAGCCATGTGCCATGTTGCTCCTGAATCAATTATCCAAACATCAGTGAGTTGTTTACTACCTTTGGAATTAGTTGTTGCTCCGCTATATAGAATCTCTCCATCATCAGAGGTATTGGCAATACATCCTTGAGATGAACTTGCCTCAGAAGACTTCTCACCATTCTTCTTAAACCAACAATCTCTTTTCAAGTGCCTTTTCTTGCCACAATTGTAGCATCTCACATTCATCTTACTTCGAGATTTTGATCTACCATGATTTTGGCTCTCAATGGGGCCACGTTCCACTGATCTTCCTCTTGTCATTGTCAAAGCTTCTACTTGTTTTGAGTTTTCTTGACGGCCTTCCTTATTTATACGCCTGAACTCTTCCTCAAGAATAGCTCCGACAACATCATCAAAGTATAGACGGTTTGTAACAGTATTATTTGTTAAGTTGACGACAAGTGGATCATATGAATCTGGTAAGCTCTAAAGTAGAAGTTTTGCACGTTCATTTTCTGCTATGGTGAAATTTGTCGATGTAAGTTGAACAAACACCGTATTAAGAGTGTTGATGTGATTTGTCACGGATGTAGATTCACTCATTCGAAGAGTGTAGAGTTTTCTCTTTAAGAAAATTCTGTTGTGAAGTGAGTTGACCTCGTACAATTTGATGAGAACATCCCAAATCTCCTTTGCAGTTTTCTTTTCAGCAACGCTAGACAAAACTAAATCCGCCAATGCTAAGTGCAAGTTGACAACAACGTTGTTATCCATCTCATTCCACTTCTCAGCAGATATTCCCTCAGTTCTATCTTCAATTGCTGCTAAGCAATTATCCTTCCTTAAATTACTCCCATTGAACTTCTCAATCTCAAATTTTACCGTCATGGTAATTTCAATTAAACCGGCTTGCACAATTT